AGTTTAGTTTGTTAAGGATGTGCCCATATTAGGGAAACCTCTGGGCAAGATCATACTTTAATCTAAAGAAACAATCAAAAGGGTTTTATTTCCATTATATTCTATGAAATACAATGCTCAAACAACCAATCAACATTCCTCCTCTTCCCCTTCCTTTTTCCTTTAGTAAATACTGAGCATCAGCTATGTGCCAGGCTTGTTCTAGGTACAGTGGGGCCTTGACTTACAAGTGTCCTGACTAACGAGTTTTTCGAGATACGAGCCGTCTCTCAGCTGATTTTTTTGCTTTGAGTTGCGAGCTAAAATTCGGGTTATGAGCCAGCTTCAGATACCCCACTGCTAGTTGGCGCAGCGAACGTCACAGAGAATGCCACAACATCAGTCCAGCATCTCGTGTCTCACTCGTTCACTGGTGATTTGACATACGAGTAATTTGAGTTACGAGCTCCGTCACGGAATGAATTAAACTCATAAGTCAAGGCCCCACTGTACTTGGATATAGCAGGGAACAAAATAGTTTATATTATAGCATAAATTTAAATGGCCACAAACAAATAAATATATAATATGTCAGGTGATGATAAGTACTGTGGAGATAGATAACGCTGGAGAAAAGGGTATAGGGAGTAGCGAGTTAGGGAGTGAGTTGGGCTGTTACTGTGATCCATAGAGTGGGTAGGGGAAGGCATCACTGATGAAGTAATATTTGAATAAAAACCTGGAAGTAGTAAGGAGGGAGTTGTGGAGATTTGTGGGGCAAGAGTAATCCAGACAGAGGAAATAGCATTGGCAAGGCCCAGATATGTAAGGGCATGCTTGAGATGTTTGATAAACATCAAGGAGCCATAGCAGAAAGGGCAAAAGGGAGAGTGAGTTATTTAATGGCCCTAATTATAAATCATTTACACTGTTTATTCATGAATGGTGCACAATAAGGGATACTATTTAAAAATATATTTTTGATTTCAGAGAAGAAGGGAGAGGGAGAGAGAGATAGAAACATCAGTGATGAGAGAGAATCATTGATTGGCTACCTCCTGCACGCCCCCCACTGAGGATAGCCCCTGCAACCCAGGCATGTGCCCTGACTGGGAATCAAACGTGATCTGCTGGTTCATAGGTCGACATTTAACCATTGAGCCATGCCAGCCAGGCTATTAAATAACTCTTAAAACTTTTTAATATTTTGGGAAGTAACAAGTCAGAAACTTCCAGTTAAACATTGATTATTAAACACATTTATGTTTGTGTTCTCTCAGACCACACTGAAGTGAATGACGGTAAAGAATTTTTAAATAATAAAAATCCAAAAGGTCAAAAAAAATCAGAGAGATGATAACAGGTGTATAATTTTGGAAACTGGAAAACATAAGTGAGAGGTATATAATTGAGGTAGCTGAAATTTAAGTTGGCAGTAGAATAACTGTGGAAGCATGTGGATTTGCACTGCAGAACCCTGAAGATTTTAGGAATTGGAGGTACAAGTGAAAATGGGGGAATTACCTAGAGGTCTGTCTATCCCATTCACCATATCACAAACCTTAGCAATTGCCTTAGCCTTTTATTCTCCCCTACAGGAGACTACAGGTACAAGCACAGTTGAGGACAGGGGAACTGAACTAGGAGCCAGGTGATTACCCTAAAGATACATTCTCATTGGTGCTTTGTCCCCACAGCACCCAGATTGTGGGCAGTCAGGCTTATACCCTATTCTCAGCAGGAAATCGTAGTCTATTCTTCCACAGGGAAATTCGCCCAAGAGAAAAGACCTACAATTAATGATGTTTTAAATTTTCTTACTGATAGGACTATCCATATCATCCTTCACTAGAGCTCTTCTGTTGAAAAGCCTCTCCCATGCACACATAGCTTGCAGTCTGGTTTTTAGGGCCTCGCATATGAGCACGCAGCACAGATCATCAAACACTTGAGGAGAGCTGCTGATTTGAAAGATAGAGACCTACACAAAACATAATGAAACTAACAGGAAAGACCTTAAAAAACTAAAAGTAGTCATTACTAGTCCCACTGTATCAGACACCCTTTGTGTATCACTCCAGAAACCTCAGTCCAGACATTGCTGCAGTAACTAACTCTTCATGGTCAACTACAACTGGACCTTGCCATGTTTTTGGCTCTAGCTACAACTTTCTGTTCCCTGCCCTGGGCTTCTATGCCACCCCAATTGGAATGTAGTAACCTTGACACTCCTATATGCACAATTTGGAGTTGAGGGAAAATTAACTCCAATCTGAGACCTGTGAATTGAATAGGTATTTCTCCTTTTTGTACCTTAGAGTTCTGAGAATATTTCAAAAAGATTTCTCAGAGTCCTAACCGGTTTGGCTAAGTGGATAGAGCATCGGCCTGCGGACTCAAGGGTCCCAGGTTCGATTCTGGTCAAGGGCATGTACCTTGGTTGTGGGCACATCCCCAGTGGGGAGTGTGCAGGAGGCAGCTGATCAATGTTTCTCTCTCATCGATGTTTCTAACTCTCT